ACAATTGACTCGTACAATATATTAGTAATATCTTGTATTAGCAATTTTGTGATATAATTACATGTTATTCTTCAAAGCTTAAAAGCAGAAGTCCAGAAGTCTCATGTTATATAAAAGATGTATCATTATTCCATTTTTTATCAATTTCAATGTAATTATCTCTCATTTGTTAGACATTATTTTCATATATTGTACTATTTGATGAGATTATTTAGGCACTTCTTACAAAAGCACAACGTCCTTGACTAATACATTATTAAGCCAAAATTAAGAGTGGATACATGTGCCAGTAAAAGGAAGGGACCTATTGCTAGATATATTGTACGATAAAGAACTTTATGTAGGTCACATTCCCCTGTTTTTAAGGGGGCAGGAGAGTTTGAACTCCTAAAATAATTGAGTGATATTTAGAGGGAGAGGGATGTGGATATGAGAGAGAGGGTTTGAACTCCTAAAATAAATGAGTAATTCCTTATCTTTAGAGGGAGGAAGATGTGGATGAGAGAGAGACAGAGTTTGAATATCTAAAATATATACCTTTATATGAGAGAGATATGGAGAGAAAATTAAAGAATATGATAGAAAATTAAATGGAAGAGAAAAACATGTTGATAAGAAAGAGTGTGACATCTCTCTTCAAGGGATAAGGGTTCATGCATCAATAAAAAAAACTACGTACTTTTTTATTTTTCCATAATGATGTGGGTTGGTGAATTATGTAATTGTGTATAACTCTGATATGTTTATCTTTTACTTTTTTTTGTTATTTTTTAATGTTATTTTTTTCATAGGGATTATAGACAATGATACCATTTATCTTTGATATAAGATGGTCACAATTCTTTACAACCATTTCATGTGAAATTTGATAGCTTGAATGTTTACTAAGTTCGAAAAAATTTATTTTGAAGTTTGAGCTTGGTCAATGAAATAATTGCTACGACCCAATTTTGCTTCTAATGATCAAGATTAATGTGACCACTTTATACCAAAGGTAAATAGTCTCATTCTATACATTACCTTTTTCATAATGTTACTTCATAATGTTACTTTGCCTTGGATTATAGTATCATTGCAGTTTATTATTGTTATGTATTGCATTCAATTCATTTAACAATTAAGTTAAAAAACACATGAAAGTTATATTGAAATTGTGCATGCAGGAAACATTGATATAATGGTGACACATTCTTTTTACAAAATATTTTTTAGGGTATATTTTTACCCAGTGAAGCTAGTTGCATGAACATCGGCCCTAGGATGCGTAGCTACGAATTTCACTTATAGGGTGAACTAGAAGATATTGTCATAAAATTGAATGCATTATTAGTTGATTAAATTGAAATAATCATTGTTCTCATTTATCTATGTTTTATACGGAAAATATATTTATATTCCCTATTTTTAAATTTTACATCTCCATGGACCAAAGATTTCAAAATACATATTTGGCCATAAATATCTTAAGTTTTATATCTTCTAACCCTCTAATCTAATTTTTTCCACTTTGAATTTATTTTCTAACCCAAACAAATTATAAGATGACAAATATTTCAAAACCTGTATTTTCACTCTCATTCCCTCCCTCTTTCACTCTCCCCAAGCCCCTTTTCTCTGTGTATTACCCCAACTCTCTCTCTCTCTCCGTATTTACCTCTCTCCCCTGTCGCTCCTCAAGCCCTTTTTATTTTTTGGACAAATACACTCCTCAAGCCCTCTCTCTCTTTTCCTCCCTGTATGGCCCTCTCTCTCTCTCTCTTCGTATGGCCCCCTCTCTCTCCCTATTACCCCCCCACTCTCTCCCCCAAATGCCTTATAACACCCTTATAACCGAAGCTTTCGAATTGAAAAAGAAAATGGCCCAAAAAGGATTGATTGCTGATGGGTTCACTTATGGCGCTCTTGTACATGGTTGCAAGGAGAAAATGACTCAAGGAGCAAAATGGGTTATCACTGAAATGTTAAAAAATGGACTAAAATCAGACTATTATATTTACAGTAGTTTGATTGATCGTTTGGTGAGAGTAGAAGAAATTGAAGAGGCTTTCAGTGTAAAAGATAAGATGGTGACCTCGAGTATTCAGCCCAATGCTATAACATACAACATGCTTATTTGTGGGGTATGTAAAAAGGGTATGGTGAACGTCATTGATAAGTTCTTGGATGAGATGGTGAGGATGGGTCATACCCCATATTCCATGGCTTTTACTTCAGTTATTGAAGGGCATTGTAAGAATTAGAATTTGGCCGAAGCTTTCGATCTTCTTGCCAAGATGAAGCAAATAAGAGTGAAACCATATGTTTGTGGTAACTTGTAGCATTTTGATAAATGAGCTTTACAAAGCATGAAATTTCCGGATGGTCTTGATTGGATTTACCAATCGAACCACTAATTATCCATTGCTGAACTTTCAAACCTTAATCAATCATCAATTCACCATTGAACCTTTTAAGCCCTAGCCAACCTCCTATAAAACATGAGTAAGGGTTTCACATAGCATCAAACAATGAGATAATTGATGAGTATTTTAAGCACTAGGTAGAGATGGAAGGCTTTTCCTTTAAACTGAGAAATTTTGGAGTCGTCTAAGATTCCATCGAAAATGGCATTACCTCAACAAATGGAGATCTTTGTGGCTTCGAAAATGGCAGTACCTTTGCAAATGGAGATCTTTGTGGTTTCGAAAATGGTAGTACCTCTGCAAATGGAGATCTTTGTGGTTTCGAAAATGGCAGTACCTCTGCATATGGAGATCTTTGTGGTTTGGAACCTCTGCAAATCGACTTCTCTCAAAGAGAAGAGGGGTTTTGGGGATGGGTTTGGAAAACACGGGGTAGAGAGAGAGTGGGGTAATACGGAGGGAGAGAGAGAGAGAGTTGGGGTAATGCACGGAGGAGAGAGTTTGGGGAGAGAAAGAGGGAGAAATTTGGAGATAAGAGAGAAAAATATAGGTTTAGAAAAGTTTATCATTTTATAATTTGTTTAGGTTAAAAAAAATAGAATTAAAATGGAAAAAGATTGCCTAGAGGCTTAGAAGATACAAAACCTATAATTCTTATGGCTCAAGATATGTTTTGAAATATTGGGTCTATGAAGGTATGAAACTTAAAAATAAGAGATGTGGATATATTTTTTCTTTTATATATATATTTTTATATCTAATTTTTTTTTATGATTTTTCATTTTGGTTTTTTTGTTATTAAGCAAGAAGCAACCCAATTTATCCTTACGATAAGTATCATTTGTACTATCAATTTTGCTCTCTTTATTTTTAGCTTATTTCATTCATTGATAGGAGTGGACTGTGGATGACCAATACATTCCTTATATGAGTATATTTCCACCATTATATGTTCTTCACACTAATACACAAGAGTTTCATAGTGATTTATTTGTGCAAGTGTCATGCAATCGTTTTTCAACGAGACACTCCCTTACAAAACACTCACGAATGAGGTTCTACAGTATTTTACTTATAGCTCATTTCCATCAAAAGTCTATCAGACGGTCGTGATTATTTGATAATATTTGAATTTTAATTATTTTTTTGCAAATGAAATTCAAAAAAGGATGTGTACATTTAACCATATCGCATAAAAATAAAATATCAAAAAATAAAATGATTAAAATACTCCTATCATTTGAATTATTTTTAATATTTTATTTAGGCGTTCCTTACTAATGCCACACACACGTAAATTATGAGGTTAATCTAATAGGTAAAAAATAGTTAAATTTACAAACGATCAAAGAATTGTGACCTTCTTATGAACTTTGAATAATGATGAATCATGAGTAAAAAAGCTGTAGAATTCTACTCATTAGTGTAAGTATTCATGCTTGTGTGACTTTTATATCTCTCATATCCTTATGACAACTTTCTCCCACTTCTCGTGCTTCCATTCGATCTTTAATGGAAAAAGTTTATTCATAGCCTCAATCTCATGCCACAGAACTAAGGCACACCTTAAAAACCACCGGAAGAGGTTGTTTGGATGCAAGACAACTATACAATAATTATTTTTAATTTGTGCAAAGAGATATTCTTTTTTTTTCAAGTAAATATAGTACAATAAGGATTTGCAATAAATCTCTTGATTTGTGATCATTCAATCTCAACATATGAGGGCGCTTGTTTCTAGTTATTTCCTCTTCAAAATGCATTTTCTTAGGTTTTTGTAGGCCTTTTTTTAAAAATAATTTTTACTGTTTTCCCCTTTTTCCTTAAATATTTTTTAAATTTTTTTAATTCAGTATGCCGATCTGATAGGTGAACTTGCCTGTTCGGCCTGTCCAATTAGACTGGTGCCCTCACCAGTTCAATACTCCTTACAACACTGATCAATTTCGTGGGTGGGTTTTGAGTTTTTTAAACTTAAAGGGTGCGGTTTGTATGGAGCCGAGGTTCTAAACAATCAAAGTAATGTGCACATTTAATTAGTGTTGAGAAATGTTGTTTCAATACTGAAAATATTTGTGATAGCCTTAAAATGTTTTTTTATCTTTAATTATAAAATTTAAGGCTTAAAAAATAGTGTGGATCAAGCAAATCTATAAAAATTTTGAAAATATTGAAAATTGATAGTAAAAAAGTGCATTACAAGATGCACTATTTTCAAAACTTAAAATCCATTTTTTCAAAAGTTGAAATCCATTTATTCTCATGTCCATGCATCTTGATATCGAAATCAATTTGAAGATATTCGAGCATCGAAACAAACTCTTCTAGTGAAATTTTTGAGCTGGGCTCTAATTTAATTGTTTAAATCCTCGGCCCTATATAAACTTTTTTCAACTTAAAATCCACATTTTTATTAGCCTCGATGGGGTTCGATCGAAGAGAGTATATGAACAGTATACTCCCTCCACAAGACCAAATCTTCTCGCTTTCGCCTGATGGAGTAAAAATAGACGGTATAGTCCCGTAGGATCACAAAATCCTTTGACTTAGATATGCCACCCTCCCCTAAAGTAGCGCCAGCCCCAAATAAAATACAAGACCAGTCATTACGAATACAAGGCCAGTCATTACGGTCCCGCGTTATTTTTTTCTTGCTTCTCGGCCATCTTCACGGCCGTACCTTTTGATATTCGGGGTTAAAAAACTCAATCCTCCTCTATTTTTTACCACCATTTTCAAGAAACAGGCGATTTTTGTTGGCATCAATGAAGAAGACCGTCTTAACATCTCAGATCTGAGAATTTTCAGCTTGAAAAAGGTACTTACTCTTTTTCTTTGTGGTTTCCTTCTGATACATTTTAGGTATTTTTGTAGTGTTGAGACTTTTTCATTCTCCCTAATGCTCGTATAATTTGATTCATGCGTTAGATTTTTCTTTTTGATAATGTTTTTTTTGGTTATTATGTAGTTCTGCATATATATGTATTTTTTTTTTTGCAGAGAATACTTTCTTGCTGGAAATCAATTGGGATTTAGCATAGTTTTTCTTTAATGCCGAAACGACTTTCATGCTAACTTCTATAATCTATATTCAACAAATATTCGTAATTGATATTCATTCCTATTTTATGGATTGATTATTGATTTCTATCTTCAAATCCTATAATCCTACAATTGATTTTTAACCATTTTTTTCCCCTGTGATTTATGTACTTGGATATTTTGTTTCCGATTTCTTTGGTTTAGAAAAAAACCATGGTTATAATGGTTGAGGATATTATGGAAAAATTGGTTTCAAGGTGGATGTACTTTTTCTTTTCCTTTAACCATGCTGGTGAGTTAAAGGAAACATTTTAACCATTATTTATTTATTTATTGTGATAAATATACATGGATGTAAGTGATTTTATGGCAGAAGCTCAAATATTTGAAGTTTACATGGATACTAACTTCACATCTCTATGTCCTTGAATAATATTTTACATTCTTGATGTTATTCAAGCTTACACTCCATGACCGTTAATCTGTGTAGAGTGGATTTCTTACATTAATGATCTCAATATGTAAATTAGTCTTTCGGTCTGGTTTTAACGATGCTGGTGAGAACTATTCTTACATGGGTTGATTCGGGTGATCAATTGAATGGAGGAATAATATACAAAAGTTTTGGTTGATTGAGTCAATAGAGTGATTCACACATTTTTTGGTTTCATGAGAATATTGGAGTGATTCATATTGCTTTGGTTTAGTGAGATGCATTTATTAGCAGGGGAATTCTGAAGTTTGCATGAATTACGGTCATGGAATGCACTATGTAAAAAACATAGTAAATGCTCGTAACATTACACTAATAATGTGAATGATCTTGAGAAATTACAATTGTCGGCATACATATTGTTGATCTTGTACTGGTTTCACTACTGGTCTATACCATTCCGAAACATGCCTTCAACGGATACCAAGGTTGCCAAACTCAAGAGGACAAAAAATGTTAAGCCATAGTGTTGTCGGCATATGCTGTGGCTATTGCAGTGGCGTTCACTGCCGAGAGACCACCTCGCAATGAGTATATAGTTGGTGCTCGAATGTTCCATGATTTGGTAATCAACACCACTGCGATCCATTGTCGCATATGTGTGTGTGTGTATATATATTTCCTATAACAAGTTGAGATGTTTTTCACAAGTTGTACAGAAGCTTGAGCTCTCAAATATGAGCTGAGTATGAACATAATAGATGGTACCATACAAATTATAACTGACATGGGATCTGATGACAATTATCCTGCAATTATAAGTTTCCTACTCTGATCTTATAATGTTCCTACAAATGTAAGATCTATCTAGATCCTGAAGTTTGCTAATTTTATGATGCAAGCATCTATCTTAATTTACATAAATATCGTATATTCTAACTTTTGTGAAACCATCTAAATCACATAGATCTATCATCTATCTATATCCTGAAGTTTTTTAGTATTATTACGCTAGCATCTGTCTTAATTTAAATAAATCACATATATTGTAACTTTTGTCGTCTTACTATATTAAATCACATACACTTGTCCTACAATGGTTAGATAAATCGATATCACAAAGATTGCCAATTTTATGATGCAGGGAAATTGTGCTATTGATCTATCCGAATCCTTTTAGATTGCATCACTTCCAACTTTTGTGATCACATATCTAAATCCCATTGGATCATCTTAGAATATTTATTGTCGTCAGATCCCATATTAGTTCTAACTTCTGTTGCCTCATCTATTACAGGCTTGCTCAACTCAAATTTTGTGGGTTCAAGCTTTTGTGAAACCTATAAAAGAACAACAAAGCTCGATATAGTATCCAATATATACATAAACAAGTGAAACCCAAATACGAACAAAGAGTGTATCGACAAAACGAAGTAAGAATCAAGTGATTGCATACGTCACCATAATATCTTTTTGAATACTTCTATAATTCAGTTTGTATTGTCAAGATTACAAGTTTCATCTCAACATACGAGGAAACTTGCTTGGTTAATCCCCTTGACCCTTTGATGTGTTCAACACCCAAATGTATTAAGGAAATATGTATGAAAATAACTAATTATGAAAAAAAATAATGTACAGATGTACGATTTAAGAATTAAAGAAAGCAATAAACTTTCCTTAAGGAAAAATATAAATCTAGAGGTAACTACCATCTCTCTCCCTCTGTTTTTGTTTTCTCTTTGTCACTCTTTTGATTGAAGCTATGGAAGTTGATTGGATGAAGTAACTGCACATTATCTTTTTCGAGGTATATGTGAAGAACTTTTGAAAGTCTTTTATAAAAATATTAAAAATATTTATGTGCAGTTTAATTACTAATGGGCACAAGAAGTGCATTAATAATAAAAATTATTTCCAAAAAAATAAAAGAAAAATTAAATGCTACTTAGTGAATTCATTTTTATCTTACTTAGAATCATTTCCATCATGTGGGCGCTACAAATCTTGTATTTTAATTGTTCAATTGCTGTTAAAATATATATTTAAAATCTATGATTAATAGAGTTCCTTACCATTTCCGTCCCAAGATGATGACATTGACCATTAGGGCAAACTTGATAATTGAAAAGGAGAGTCCTTTGCAATTCTTACAAATATCAATTAATGCATGTGAAGTTTGGTGATTTTCAGTCAATAGTAATTGACGAAATGGAGTGCTATTTAAAGCTCATTCTTGTATGCTTGAAGCTTGGCCACAAAATATGGAACTGAGAAATGGAACTCTTAGAAGCAATCCGTAATTTTTATTAGCCTTCCCATTCTTAGCTAGTAAACATTTAAATAGCAAGTATTTTTTATGACACACTTACACCTAATAGTCTTTTTTATGACACACTTATTATGACAACTAGCACTGGCCAACTTTACACACTACTTGGATATCTGAGCTATCTTTCACAGCACCTGACTTGGCTAATCCACTACTGTTGTATTGGCAGTTTTGACATGTATGCTGCCCCCCTCCCCCCCCACCCCCCCTCCAGCACAACTCTCCTCTTTTTTCTACCCCTCTTTCGCTCCCTCCCTAACATACACACACCAAACCTCATTAGCATCTATTCCATAGATAAACTTAAACAAACTTAATAGGACTCAAAATATTTGACAACATATGATCAAGTATTACAAAATACACTTAATCAATGTCATACCATTGTACAAAAGGATTAAACCAAGTAAGGTTTTGGTTCCTGGAATAGGCTGAAACACCAATTACCTTCAGCACCATGCCTTGCTCCTCACTCTTGGCTGTACCCATTGTATTTTTAAGGGTGGTGTAGCTCTGTTTTCTATACAGGGTTGGCTGTCTTAAGGCAAATCCTTCCTACTTCTCCTTCACCAACACTCCCTCCTCGTTCTTGGCCCTTCTTGTGCTCCAGCATGGCTGGTGCCCGTGTTTGCTTCTAGTTTTATATTGTTTAAAGCTGTTATGTTTATAGTAATACAGTCAGCTTTTCTCAAAAAGGGGGGAAAATAAAGAAAGAGCATTGATATGACAATTGTAGTAAGGTGTAGCTAAGTTGGCTTGGAACTCAACTCTTCATTCTGTCATGTACATGCAGGATTTTGAATTGTGTACAAGAGGTCCTAACCATGGTTCTAGACAGCTTATCATCTCCCCATAGGAGAACACAAAATCCGATTTCACCTTTAACTTCTTACAAGAAACCATTTACGACGCGCGACTTTGATGGTTGGGCAACTCTTTTTCAGCGGCACCGCTTTCTCTTGACCATGCTAGCGGTCTTGGGCTTTCTATGCACTGTCTATCTTTATTTTGCCGTCACCTTGGGGCCCACAGAATCATGTTCAGGCTTGAGCGGGGCCAAGAAGTCATTGTGTGAATTGGAGCGAGCAAAATCATCTATGTCCCACAAAGGTAAGTTGAGATTCTTTTGATTGTGATTTGGAACTCTATTTTTTCTCCCATAAGATATGTTTAGGAATTATAGTTAGATATTTATGTATTTTGGATATTGGGGGTATTGATTGGCAAGCTTTAATATCCCTACGTCAATTAATTATTTTTATGTCAAGATTTTCCTATATGTATTTATGGAGTTTTGGTCTTGGGAGCTTGTAATTGTTTTGTTCTGGTGCTTTGGATGTGACGAATGTGTCAATGAATTGAGTCATAGTTGGATCATACTAACCTGATCAAATTATGTAAGAAGAGTAAACAACCTGACCCCTGGAGCAGATGGTAAATCACAGAAATGACTATGTAACTAACTTGAATGTGGTGGATTGACTATTTGATCCCTATGATTTATTGGATGCCATTCGAGTTGCCCTCATCCTTTTGGTCATTTTGCAGTGTGTCTGGATTCTGGATGAGTTGTATTTTTCCTATCATGACTGGTGATCATGAGGCACCTTTTTGAGTTCAGGAAAGTGAATCTTAAAGCTACACCTTTGTGTAAGCATAGACTTAAATTAAGCATATATAGTATGAGATTTCCTAATTTGCTACTTCACCTTGAACTTTGTTAACTTGCACAAGCATTTGATAATTGCTGATCTGGCTCGGAATTTGCCGAAGCCAGATGAGATCAAAGGTGTACAATTTCGGATGGAGAATCCCCTGAACTGCACAACTCTTCTGGTTATCTGATATATTTTAATTTCTTTGTAATGTGTAGCCTGGTCTATTTTGGGAATTGCCCGATTTGGACCATTAGAATCATAAATGGGCCCCTGCTGATTCAGGTCTGATTGCCACTTTCTAAACACTGATTTGCAGCATTTTACAGGCCCTCTCTATTGTCAGTTCCGGGTGGGGTAGTTTCATCATTTGGTACAAGGCAAAATAATGGACATTGTGCTGATATCCAATCGGGATTTTTTAAATGAAGAAACTTACTCCCACTCTGAAACAACAATAGAGTTTGCCTGTGTTAACAAACTGCACTGTCAAGGTTGACAATTTTGCTCTCTAGTCTCTGCACTGCCAAGGTTGATAATTTCGCTCTCTAGTCTCCAGTATATTGCCTATTTAAATTCCCCCCTGCAAAGTGAAGAAACACTTTGTATGTTACCGCATCTCTGCGGCCCTTGAAACTGTAAAATTTTGGGGTTTGGTCCCCTTGAGCCAATAGGAGCGAGTTTTATCTCCTCCCAGCACAATTGGAGAAAAAAAAGAAAAGAAAAAATCTCAAGTAACAGGGAAGAGAGATGGAAAATACATCTAGTGAGTGGTTTGTGCAGACCAGCCCCATGGCTTTTGCGAAAATGCGGTGGCAGTGGCTGATCACAGTAATCGTGTAAAATCTGTCGTCGTAAGTGTCATCACTGTTGAATTAATGGATGGACAGCGATGCAAGGAGTTGGACAGACCAAATGTCTCAACCCAAGCTTTTCCGTCACAGTTCATTCGGTACACGCCAATAGGATGGTATATGCGTTTGTAAACATTCTCTAGGTTTGAGGTAGAGGTGGTTTGGGTGGTAGGTGCCACAACATGATATCTAGAGTTCTATCATCATTAGGATGTAAATTAATATTAAAAATAAATAAAAAGGTGGGTGGGTGGGGGGAAATGTAGGATTTTGTTGGAAATGTATCAAAGAAAAGAAAATAGTATTTTGTGAAAATAATATTAATCCAGATTAATTGGATTGATACGAATGCCCAATGTTCTTCAAATGTAATCTATATTTGATTAAAAAATTACGATCACACCTGAAAATCTGACATTGTAAATAAGGTTGAAATATTTTGAATTTTTGTCTGGTCCATGTATTTACTCCTATATTTTATATCAAATTTGGTTGCATTTATAGTATCTTTCGTAATCGACCTTAGCCTATGTAACTGTTCTCTTCATTAAAGTTGATAATATCATGATAATATTGCAAGGTGTTAGTGTGCTAAGCAACCATTTGGGTTGTAAGCAATATGATAGTTGCTCCCGATCATGGGGAAAAATTATGAGTGTAATCCATGTTTTTAAAGTCTCTCTAAATTATGCTTTTCTTTCTTTATCTCATGACCATGGGGAAAATTTCAACAACAGATTAATCAGAACGCGAAAATGGATTACAAGAAAGAAGAAATATGCTAAATACCACATGCTAGATATTATACTACATGTTTGGTGCATAATAAACATCATGTTGTGCGGCAATCAATCTAACGTTGAGATTAACCAATGCGGGATTAATCTAGTCAAAACTGATATGACTGTTAGTTACGTAGGTTGGAAAGGATTTAAAAATAATAAACAATATTAACAATAACTTTAAAATATAATTGTTTCAAAAATTTGTCGAATTTTTTTTAATTGGTTAAAACCATGTAGGTACAAAATGCTCAAATCGGTCAAGCATTAGTTTGACTCGTCTCTCCCTCCCTATGTGGAAATGCAATGGACCAAACAACGAGTTATAATTTTGGGAAATTTTGAACTCACTAAAGAATTTGAAATAAATTGTGTTCAGGCGGCAATTGAATTTTAAACCTCTATCAAGAGAACATCAGACTGTAGGCCAGACTGATCCCATTGGTATGAGTTGCACTGTCCATTTTGGCGAGCGGAATCGGTGCTTCAATATTTTTTAAAAAAATAATAGAGAAAAAACTATATTCAGGGATAAAAAAGGCAAAAAAGATGAAAAGAAAAAAAACTTAAAAACACAATTAAATATTTGATTACATCTAATAGAAGCCATAAACCTAAATCAACAGCAAAAACTAAAATAAAAAAGCATTTTTTGGGAAGAAAATGGTGGAAAAGAATGGTAAAAAAAAAAACGTGAAAAGGAAAAAAACGATCTTAGATATTTTTGTTTTCTATTTAGTATTTTTAAATAATTAATACTATTTTTTAAAAATCAAATAATTCCAAATTAAAACGAAAGGAAAGACCCGAAATTGGGACTTTTGTTTTCCGTACACTTATTAAAGACTGAATTGAGGAAATCATTTGAATTAGAGAAAGAGAAATTTATTTAATGTGATCTGATATGGAGGTTGATAATGAAATGCGAGGATAGAGAACCTATACATTCTAAACACACTTAAAGAAAAAGTGCCCTCCCGCATATGAATTTTTTTTTAACAATATTCCAAACTTTTATTAATAACTCCGGGACTTAACAAAATTTCAGGTTATAAGTCATAACAACCTGATTAAATCACCAGAAATCACCAAATTAGAGGGAGAGATACCATTTTTTGCTAATGCTACAACGTGTCCTCCCGATCGTTAGCTTTCCTATAGACATGAAAGAACGAAACTCTCAACAATTCAACTACATCTATAATATGCAACCAACATTTTCCTCCCGCTATCCAACCAAAAGACCCCATGCCAACTGTATTATTTTAATTACGTACTAGAAAAATAACGAGGAAGAAAAAAGAAATCGCAAAAAAATTTAAAATGAAAAATGTTTTGATAGGGCTACAAGCCCTATCAAAATAAGTAAAGCCTCCCCTTAAAACTCATCAGAAATTGTAGTTTTGGCATCAGAAAATTCTCAAGTCGATCATCTCAACCCACGCCATTATGGTTGTAGAAAAAAATTAAGATTTAAAGTCCTAAAAATAATAAACAATGCAATACGATATCTAGACTGTCCATTTCACCCCAAAATAAGCGTTCATGGACTGCAAGATTTGTAACTTTTTTGAGCTTGAATCTCGTAGTTGATGTTGGAAGCTGATTTTAGAGCCATCGTGAAGATTTTCGAAGGCTGATTTTCGAAGGCCAAAGTGTATTCTAGACGAGGATTCAAGTTGAGGGTTTATTTTTGTTTTCATGAAGCCTAAGCCTTATAGAAACTCAGGGCATCAATAAGTGGAATCATCGTTGGAAACCACTTTGGACATAAAAAATCTCCATGACTCTAAAATTAATTTCTAACTACTAAGAGAAATCTTGCAGATATGTGAATGTTTATTTCTAGGGTGTAATAGACCGTCTAGATAAAATATATACACTATTTCTAGAGCTTGACATCTTATTTTTTTTCGTAACCATAATGGATAAGGACGTGGTTAGCATGCCGCCAGCCGGCATATTGTAGAAATGCATGCTTGGTAATAAAATATAATTTGATCATACTTTTTAGAGAATATATAATCTTTAACAAGATCATGAATATAAAGAAATAACAAAATTTGAAAACTAAAAATAATTATTATTTAAAAAAAACATTTAGATTGACCATCCATTTGCATCCATCTTAAATCTAGACAGTATATTGTAGAAATGCGGTCCAACCCGCGTGAAATAATTGTTCAATGGTGAATGCATAATTGATTTGAAGGTTTTTAGAGTTTTATAGTAGGGTGCGGTTTGTATAGTGCCAGGCTCTAAATAATCAAATTAGAGCCTACCTTTAAATGGTGTCGAGAAATGTGGTTTCAACACTGAAAATCTTTGTGATAGCCTTAAAATATATTTTCATCTTTATTTATAAAATTTAAAGCTTAAAAAAGGTGTACATTGATAGATCTATGAAAACCTGAAAATCTTGAAAATTGATGGTATGTATAACAAAATACACTAGTTTCAAAACTTGAAATCAATTTTTTCTCATGTCCATGCATCTTGATGTTGAGATGATCAATTTAAGAATATTTAAGCTCAAAACAATCTCCTCTAGTAAAATTTTTGAGGCAGGCTTGAATGTGATTGTTTAGAGCCTTGGCTCTATATAAACTTTTGGCTCTATATAAACTTTTCCCTCAAGCTTTACTTGGTTATATATAAACTTTTCCCTTGCTTATTTTGATAGGGTTGCAGCCCTATCTCTCCTTAATTCCAAGTCTGCGCTTCGTGTGGCAGAGGGGCCACGTGCGGTCGTATTCAACCCAAGCTCTCGCTAACCCTCTCTTATCCATAGTCAGCAAGTAGGGGATTATCAATAAATCGACTCACCATAAAATCAGAAACAAATCATTTTTATTTTAAAAAGTTGGATTAAAAAATCGGGAAAAAATACGGATCGACAAAAATACTTCATATAAAGATATTGCTAATATATCATATTAGGCTAAAACAATCGGATAAATTTATCATATTAGAAATTTTAAAATTCTAAAAAATAAAAATCATGTCAAAGCCATCAATAGCTAATTCATCCATAAAATTTTTACTAAATTAATATAATTAAGTCAATTAATTTAGATGCCTTGTGACTCTCATCCAATCATCTAATATTAAATACATAATTAATTAGTATATACCAAAACAAAAATACCATATAAATCTCTGGAAAATTACAAAAAATATAACCCTCACATTTTTCCCATCAACAATTTACTTTCGCAAAACCCCCCAACCTAAAAAGAACTAAAACGCCTTTTTTTACCCACGAAAAGTCTAAAGCCACAGTGCTCCAGCAGTCAGGTTAAACGCTTCGGCAACTAAGACTCGACGATACGAAAACTCACTCCGACAGTAGACCTTATAGAGCCAGAGCGCTCCGACTGTTGATTACGTTGTTCCAGCGATACAAAAATGCACTTTGGCGATACAGATATTTGCTCCGACAGTACACCTCATGGAGTCACAACGCTCCGGCAATTGATGAATTTGCTCTGGCATAACGTGATCTCGCTCCGGCAATACAATTTATGGAGACATTTTGCTCCAGCACTCTATGAATGCGCTCCGACAATAGTCTTTGGAGCCACAGCTCTCCAGCAGTGCATTAAGGCGCTCCAGCAAGGTTTTCAGTGCTCCGGCGGTAGATGAAGGCTCTCCGACGGCACACCTTTTGGAGCCACAGCACTCCGGCAGTGTTATTCTACGTTTCGGCAATACGCAACTTGAGACCGCCAGTTGACTTTTTTTTGTATGGGAAAGGTATTTTTGTAAAAAAAAAAAACAACTTTTTAATTTAAGGGGTTTTTTTGTAATTTTCTCATAAGTCAACCCATTAAATACTTTAAGAAACATAACATCTGTTTATTACATACTAAAAACAAATATACTATATAAATTTATTCATTAAATATTTTAACTATTACTACATAAATTCATTAAATACTTAAAATATCATACCAACTTTGCTGGTATAAGAAAAAAAAAGAAAAAAAGTAAAGAAAAGTGTTTTCTCACGATTTAACTATAGTATGGTGGCTATGGTCACTATATAACTATGGTCAAAGCAATGATTTAAAAATCGACGAGTCGAACCGGACTCGCCCGATTCGACTCGGGAATCGGTATAAGCCGTGCCGGTTACAGTACAAAACCGGGAACCGCCCGGTTATAGAGCAGAACTGTCGGTTCCAACCCAGATCTAGAGCAGAACCGTCGGGTCCCACCCAGTTCTAACGGTTCCCAGCCGGTTCTAGCCATTTTTTTTAGAGAGATAGCAAAAACAATATATTTCTTTGAAAAGGAGAGAGAGAGAGATTCTAGGGTTTGGGGGGTTTAGCCCGAGCAAGTATCATCGCCATGACGACTCAAACCTCGGGCAATCTTCACAGCAATGGGATTCCTTGCCCAAACGTTCTCTCGGTTCCTCGCCGGTTCTAGTCATTTTTTTTAGAGAGAGCAAAAACAACATATTTCTTTGAAAAGGAGAGAGAGAGATTCTAGGGTTTGGGGGTTTAGCCCGAGCAAGTATCATCGCCATGACGGCTCAAACCTCGAGTAGTCTTCGCAGCAGCATGATCCTCTGCCCAGACCTTCTCTCGGGCAGCCATGGCGGACGCCACCAACCCCATCAATGAATCTAAGCCGTTCATTTATGGAAGGGCAGCATCTCAGGCAGCTCCGATAGAGAGACCGGGCAGGCATAGCTGCTTAGAGAAGATCAAGTAGTGAGCAAGGAATTAGGGTTTGCTTCTCCTTTTAAATGATAGTCGATGGCTTGGATTAATTAACTTTTCTCTTTATACTGTATCCAGGCCTAGGCCGTTCTTTTGAAAATAACAAAAGAGGGGAGGAAGCGGTTCATATTGTTGGAGAAAGACTGAGGAATCTCCACCATCCATTGTTTGAGAAGGAGGCATGATGATTATCACTAATGTTATTTGCTTTGACATCTCAAGTTTGAATCCCCTCTTGGGCCATATAATAGTTATCCCTTCTTGATTTAATTTTTGTTCCCTCTTGAGCATATAATAAATTAAAGTGTTTTTTCCAAACTTTGTACGCATTTTAATAATTTTTACATTGATAACCAAATCTTTTATTTTATTTATTAGTTTTTACATTATAAGTCATGGCATGTATTATTTTTCTTACAGTTGTCAATAATACATTTTAAATTAGATAATATTATAAAATATTTTTAATTTTTTATTATTTATCTAATAAAATAATTATAAAATTTAAACTAATAATTATAACTTCAGTATATAATATTATAATTAGTTAGATTGTAATAATTTTGGATTATAGTTAGTTAGGTTGTAATAATTTGCGTTTTTTTAGCGGATTAGGGTTTTTTGTCAAAACGAGATTTTAATGGCCATTCTTTCATTGATTTAGTCTACTCTTTATTATAGTCCATGTATAATTATAAATTTTATCCATGATAATGCTATGATTTTTTTTTTATGTGATGTAAATTTAATACTTAAGTTTATACAGAGAAAGAGCATATCAATATTCACAAATTGATGAAAAAAATGAGAGTTAATAATGTAGTACCCTCATTTCTTATTGGATTCCTAAAAAAAAATATTTATAATGAATTTTAATAATTTTTTTGATTTTTTTTGAAGTTTTAATCCGATCGATTCAGTCGATTCTCGATCAGAATAGCTGATTCGCAGATCTGGATCAATTTTTGAGGTGCCGGATCCGGGTCACCGATCCACTTTTTAAACCGTTTAGGTTAAAGTCTTATAAATTTATTGAATTGAAAATACACTCCTAGAACTTCGGGCTTCGTATCGTTGCGTTTACGGCTGAGAGAGAGGACGAAGGAAGAGAAGAAAAGAAAAGGTCATAGGCATTAGGGTTTATAGAGACAAGAAGGAAGTAGGAAAAGTTCATCGGCTTTGGTTTATAGAGAGAGAAGAAAGAAGAAGGAAGAAAGAAGAGTTCATCGGCTTTACAAATCCTAATGCCCTAATAGAAGAGGCCTAACTGATTTTTAGAGAGAGAAAAGGAAGATGGGATGCTGATTTGGGATAGTTTGAAGAGGAATTTTCTCTCTGATTTGAGTTGTTGTTTGAGAGAAAGCCCTAATTTTGAAGAGACCTTAACTGATTTTTTGATTTGTAAAGAGGCCGTAACTGATTTTTAGAGAGAGAAAAGGAAGAGGGTTTTTCATTTTGTTGGGGAAACAGGAAGCAGAGCTGAAGGATTAGGTTTGGGGGATTGCTTACTGCTGTAAGTTTACAGTTTACACTATATTGTTTGTCTTTGTTACCACATATTCAAAAACAAAATATTGATTACTTGGTCCTGTATTCACGCTCTACGCTTCTCATTCATCAGTAAAAGACTATGTTTTGAGCTCTAATTTGTGCCAGAAACATTATTTTCATAAAAACAATTATCACAAATAATAACAGAAATCTGCATGTATATGATTTTCTTTACACAATGATTTACTTTACGAAATGATTTGCTATAAACAGTATTATTTCATTTACACAATGATTTTCCATAATAACAACTTTGTTTAAATTTTAAAAGGAAGGGAAAAAAAATTCATACTTTCTATCTGCAACTGTGGCTTTGAAGAACACAGTGGGGATAAAAATTTATATTTTAGTTATTTTTTTTAAATAATATTTTTTTTCAAAAGCATGAAATTAGCAATGGCTGCAATACACAAAACAGGGGAAAAAAATTATAGGTAAAAAAAGATACGATTTTTTGGCCTGATTTAAATCGAATTATGGAAAAATCGAGTTTTAAACGTTTTTATGAAAAGTACGCTGTCTGCTTATGTTTTGAACGGCTGTCTGCTGCTTTTTATTTATTTATTTATATTTTTTGCTGCTGAATTTTTTTTTGTTGAATTATCAATTGCCTATTTTTTTCATTACATGGATTTACTTTTGCCCTTGGTGTTTGCTCTGTTTTTTTTTCTGTTTCTTTGAGCAATTCGGTGTTTTCTCTGATTATTTTTTCTTTTGTTGACTTTAATTTGCTCTTTACTTATGCTCTGAAATTTTTTCTGCTAAAATGTTTTTCCAGCTGAAAGTGTACCCCTTGAGGTTTTGTGGATTGTTTTCTTTTTATGGACGATCGATCTTAGAATGGTCGCTGAATGCCAATAATAGTTTATGGTTTTATAATAATAGCGAAATTTTTTCTGCTAAATTTTTTACGCAAAGCTTGTTGACTGAAATATTGTTAGTTCGCATATGAATCCTTTTATTGTTTGACTCGAATGCAAAGTTTGGGTTTGTTTAGCTGCTGCTAACTTGCGATGGGTATGATAGGTTGGTTGAAATCCAAATCTCATACTTTTAGCAATTATTATCTTCTTGTCAATGAAAACTACAATGAACGGTTAAAACTGACTGATTTCCAGACTTTAGGTTTGCAAAACCCCAGGTTCAACCAAACACTGTTATAAATTTCCAGACAGGTTGCCAAACATAGTATGTTTCTCTACCAGGTATCCAAATTCCCAGCATCCAAATCTCAGAAGTACAAATTCCAGTTTCCATTTCCAGCTTCTACTTGCCCAACTGTATTCTTGCCAAACCGGTTACTCAGCAATAGTATAAAAGAAAGATTCTGGTTTGGAACCTGAAGTTTTAAACCAAAAATATTTTGAAAATAAACTCAAAAAAGACAAGCTTAAAACATGAAATATCTTTTTAAGTTCCTTGAATTAAAGGGGTATAATAACATAAATTTCCCTTATTTTCAAAAAGAAAAACAAAGGAAACCATAACTATATTTTGCTTCTTCGTTTTTTTAATTGAAACCCTAACTTTCCAGGGTCATGACCAGTGCCAAACCTCTATCGTCCAAGGTTTCCAAAGCTCGCATCCACTTTAAAAAGCCATAACTATATTCTAATCCTTATTTTTCTAGGGTTTTTTTCACAGAGAATCTGGAACAATGGATCCGTTATCTGCTCAAAATGCGAAAGAATCACTCGACCTAGCTTTTCACATGTCCAATTTTCTCAACACGGGCCTGGATCGCCATACTCTCTCCATTCTTATTACTCTCTGTGAGCGAGGGGTCAACCCCGAGGCCGTTGCAACTTTAGTCAAGGAGCTCAGAAGGGAATCAGCTGCCTTTTCACAAAAGCCCATTCAGTCCCAGAATGGCCATTGATAGTTTTTTATCGGAGCTCCATTTCTCTCCAATGGTATACTTGATCCGATCCCTAGTTTATGTAAATGCCTGTTTTTTATTTGTTAGTTGAGTCTTGTATGTGTAATTGATATCCTTGTGATTTTGCTTCTTGATGATGAAGGAAATGTTGGATTCCGTTTTGTTTTGACTTAATGGAGCAGTACAACATGGAAAGAAATAGATTGAATGTGTTGTATTTATTTATTTTTCTTTTCGTGGAATGCTGCATATTGAATTCTTATAGGTTTGAATGAGTCAGAAGTGGGTAATTTATTCATTGGAACATTATGGGAGATCATTTGTTTAGTTGGATAATCTGTAAAGATTGAGGCAATGTTATAGCTCCTGTTCAATTCTATGTGACTGAATTACTGATGATTGAATTTTCTTTTTATGAATTATCAAAAAAAATATTCTCCTTCATTTGTTCGAAGTTAGATAAGATTAAACACAAAGTCATGTTTTTGCTTGAACCGGTAGAAAACAATTTTTAGTAGCCTTCTCCAGTTTAAGTCTCTTACAACCTCATGATTTCCTGCCCATAATTGAAAACCTCAGTGCTTTTGTGGGGGTTTTCCAACTAGTATTCATTCCATTATAAGGTTTGTAAGCTCTAGTTTCGATATCTCAGGGATCACTCATTTGTATAGCAAATAGGAGATAAGGATCGTACATGAAAGCCCAAATAAATGGAAAGGGAGATGGGGATGATCATGGATTAATGGAAATTGAGATTGTGAGGAAGAAACATATGCTTGGTCTGAATTCTTCATCATGGGCAAGACAAATACTTGAAAATGAGAGTTGCATTTATATTTGAAATTATGAAATTAAGTTTGGAAAATTGCAGTAGAATTGAGGTTGTGGCCATGTTCATTTTCTGGCATTGTAGAATATCCTATTTATAATCCAGTAAAAGAGAATTTCATGTGTGTATCGTCTTAATTGTTTTGTTTAGAAATAGAAATTTAGATATAAAAAACTAAAATTTGGTGGAGTAGTTACTGTCTACCTTGATCAAAACTGTCGTCAGTTGATTTTTTTAAGTGCAATCTAACAGCTCGGCTTCTTTCCTGCAATCTTTGAATATGTGCAAATTAGTCCTTATCTTTTCATATCCAGGCTATCAATAAGCTTGTACGCTAGAAAGAAAAGTAAAACTATTAACGCTTGTATCCTTTGGCCCAGTATTTGATGCTTGACATGCATTGGACAATACTACTCAAAAAGGAAGAAATATGGAACTATAAAAGAATGCAAGAGAAAACTGCTTGATTGAGGGAGTAAGAAGAAGTTGCGGTTGTTCTCCGATAAAAGTCTGTTTTTTTCAATTATCAAAAGGCGTGTATTTGTGTGTACCCCCTCAGGTGTGCATGTGTGGGTGCGTGTGTTTGTGAAGATGCTATTATGCTTATTTTTGGGGTTGGGTGTGCAGGGATTTGTACTTTGCACGTTAGTGTGGCATTTATGATGCTCTCTAACCACTTGGTCAAGAGGCCAATACATAACATGCCTTTGTTTTTTTTTTTTTGTTGCAATTGATTATTTCATCTTAGAAAAGAAAATACAAGCTACAATGAATACCCACACCTTGATTGATGGCTAATCAATCATCACTCTTCTCTTCTCGTTAAAAACACAAAATTTGCGGCGGACTCGGTCGTTGCCAAACCGACTTGACTCACTGAGTTAAAGGGTCCCTTCATACGAATTCACCGAGTTTCAAATATTTGTGTTTAAAAAAAAAGCAATAAAAAAACCAGTGAGTCATAGTACGACTTGGGTCCAGCTTCTCACTAGGTTATATGGCCATCTTACCACATTCGTTTATATGTTAAATTAGCACAAAAAACTCTCCTACTGAGCGAGCCTAGTTTCATTCGGTCAATTCTTTTTTATTCAAAACGAGTTTTTTTCCAACTTGTCTTACTCAATACTTGGTACCTAAAGAATACTTGGCCCTCTCATCTCAAAAAGCATGATGTAATCCTTATTGGTCATTACAGTCCTCTTATCAGTCTTGGTTTTTTTCTGGGGTTGTGCTTTCATGATGATTGACCTGGGTCTTTACAAGTTGCAACTAACAGTCAAAGGCTGCGTTTTCTAGTCTTTATAGGTATTTTTGAATGAAGGACACGTGTGATTTAGTCAGAGTACATAATAAATTTTTTTTTTTTTCAATTATTTTCTTTTCTTCACGGTCTAGATCACTCACAAGAAGTTTTTTTACAATATAACAATTTCAAATAATAACAATAAAAAATACAATAGGATTTTAAGAATTTGAAGCCATTTAAAAACACACTTTTCATTAACAAAAAAAAGACAATCAATGCTTGTGAATAAAAAATATAATAAATAGATATGAACGAAAAAAAAAAGGATGTCGGAAGTTACTTCAATCGAATTTTTTTTACCCACACCGAGTCACCACCTTTTGATGGCACGAGATCTAATGGTCAACCTTCAATCTCAACAGAAAAAGCAAGTTTGGATAAACCACACAATTGGAATATGAGTTCATTTGATCACAAACTCAAACCTTAGGTGAATCCACTTAGCAACCTAGTTTGAGAGAGATGCTTCTCTTTTATATCACAACCCTATAATCTAAACCCTAATTAGAGATCATGAGAGAGGAACCATGAGAGAGTAGAGAGAGCCACCATGAGATGAGAGAGTGGTGTGTACCAGAGATAAGAGAAACTTTCTTAGATGGGAGAGAGAAGAAGTCAAGAGAGCATGAGAGGTGCATGCCCCCCCTTGGGCTTTCATGAGAGAGAAGAGAGAGTTTTGAGAGAGATAGAGTTTCTAAGTGGAGCGTGTCTTTTTTGGTAGGTTAAGAGAGAGACAGAAAGATAAAGTGTATAGATTTTGGATAGAGACAATCTCTTTCTATAGTGCTTGATCAAGTTTAGAGTTTCTTAGGGTTTTTCTTGGTTCACCACTTACATGAGGTTGAATGTGAACTATTGATCTTGGGTGACTTTTGGGGTGAGAGATCTAAGCTCTCCATTCCATAGATGGGCCATCAACAACTTATCCAATGTGTTAGACCATAATCCCCCACTTCTTAAACCATTTTTCCATCAATTAATTCAAATAACAAATTAGTATATCATAATATTATCCTTTCTTATTTCAAGTATAAACCTTCCAATACATTCAAAAATATTAACCAAACATTTCTCAAGGCTTCAAACTTTCCAAAACAACACATAACCTTCTCTCAAGCTTCAAGCTTGAACACCAAATAGGAAAGATGCTATAGGTGGGGCATGCCACCCATGGTGACACATAATGGGCCTCACCCATCATGCAATGGTGGGCCCAAAAGACCTATTGGGCCTCCCTTGCATATTTAATTTATTTTATATTTTTGAAAACAACACAAAATTATTATTTGAATATTTAAATCATTATAAAATCAATATCTTTATTTTATAAATCCAAATTTGATAAATAAAATATCCAGAGATTTAGACAAATTCAAATAATAATTCGAAAAATCAAATATAATAAAATATAAATAAAATCAATAAATCTTGATGGGAAAAGGATTCATGGGGTTTAGGAATAAATATCAATAAGGGCACTCCATGTCCAACTGCGAAGTACGAACCACGCATGCTTTCTCAAACCGACCTAGCGTTGCCCATGACCCACAGTTCATCTAGGGAGATCATTAGTGGGGTCACCAAAGTCTAGCCAATGGGCAAGGGGTCGTAATCCCAGTAAAAGAATTTCAGTTCCCCCCCGGAAATGAAACGCCAAGGTCATCCTGACCTTGATGCAATCAATGGCTCGATAGTGCACAGGGGGTATCTCACACACATGCACATGCTTCAGCCTAAAAGGTGGTACACTTTTTCGAAAATGGCTATTGATGTGCATGCCATGTGATGGAGCAAATGATGAGGATTTCACCCTGTCCCTCAAGGCCTCCATCACACTCAAAGGTCACATAGTCCATCGGCTCACTCATCCGAGCATACTCTGACTTCATCAAGGGATTACCCATATGACTCTCATCGGTACTCATCCGGGCATACTCCGACCTCATCAAGAGATTACCCATATAACCCTCATCGGTACGATTCTCATAGCCTAATAAACATGGGTTTTCCTCAACCATACTGACCTAGCATGTCAAGCATAATTTAGTATTAGTAAACATTGTTTGTTTAGTATGGTCCATAAGGGACCACACTTTCACTGAGTTTATGTTCAATTATATTATTTCATTTTACAAGCATTCATTCATAAGGCTTTTAATGGCCACACTCACCTAACAATTTGCATCTGAAACGTAAAATGGTTAAGTGACTTGATGGACCATTCCTCATTCCCTTCGACCACTCCATATTTGGAGGGGCTCATGGGCCTGACGTGATTCACTATATCAGTGCTATCTGCTGATGATAAGGAATGGTGAACAACATTCAACTTGACACGGATGGAAATTCAAGGGTCAATGAAACTTGTTGTAAATTTACTATAAATCAGTAATTAATACGAGGCGTTGTCATTCTCCCAAAAACAAAAAAACAAAAAATTCTCCAAAAGAGGAAAAAAAAAGATAAAACATTTCAGGGGTTTGTACCTTATTTTGGACTATAAGGTGTATTTGCCATCATTTTACTTTCTGCCCTTTAGCTTTATTATCATCACATTGCTATAGCCCTCGACACAACATTAGCTTCTAGCGAATGGCACTCTATTGTACTTGTTGTAGCTTGATTTTGTATGCGTTTCTTGGGATTATCTTAGATCTGCTATTGTCTCCATGAGTTGCTTAATTGTCGGAGGCAAGTTTTTATACCATATGCTTGCTTCACTTTCTAGATGTTTGATCTTGTAAATTGTATCTCAGAATATTGTTATTTAGTTGTTGTTTTCCATATAATTCATTGTATATGGCAGAAGGTTCGATTCTTATGTTGTCGACGTCTAAACCAGTACCTAAAACAAGTGCTGCCTACTTCTAAAGAAACCAAATTTGTTTGTTCCTTTCACCTATGCATCCAAATAGATTCTTTTTGAAACTTTCTGAGCAAGTTCAATGGTTTTTACCGATAAATAAATGTAAAAAACCTCTCTATTTGTTAAAACCTTTGTTCAACCACGCGCAACTTCAAATTGAGAGCAAGAAAATACCACTGTCACTATCATTTAAGTTCTGGGAGTCTAAACCTGCCTTTTTCCGGAGTCATAAAGGGGCAGGACACACTGTTCTTTACCTTGCCCTTTGGAAACATTGGAGACACCTCTAGGGTCAGTTGGGCTTCTGCTCTGACATTATCCGTCCTTCCACAAGAGGGAGACATGATTTCTATTT